CACTTCCAGCTTTTTTCTTATGTGGTGCTGAGGAATCGAACCCAGGGCCTCAGGCATGCAAGGCAAGCGCTCTACCACTGAGCCACCTTCCCAGCCCCAGAGACTCTTATATCCAATAAACCACTCAGAAAAAGCTGGAAGTTGTTGTGGCTCAAGTGGTAGAACGCTAGTCTTGAGTACTAAGAGGCTCAGGGACAGTGCCCAGGCCCTGAGTTCAAACCCCAGGACCAGCAAAAAAAAAAGTAACTTCAGAGACTCTAGAGTAATTCCTAGTCCAAGGGGACAAAAAACTCTTCTGGAGCCGGGCGCCGGTGGCTCACACCTGTACTACTAGCTACTCAGGAGGCTGAGATCTGAGGATCATGGTTCAAAGGCAGCACGGGCAAGAAAAGTTTGTGAGACTTTTATCTCCAATTAACCACTAGAAAACCGGAAGTGCCACTGTGGCTCAAGCGGTAGAGCGCTCGCCTTGAGCTGAAGAGCACAGGGACAGTGCCCAAGCCCAGAGTTCAAGCCCCAGAACCAACCAAAAAACAAAAAAAAACTTCTGGATTGGGCAGAATAGACCTCAAGACTGAAGGTTCAGATACCTGGGAGGACCCAGGAAGACTTGAGTTACTTAGAGTCACTAGTTCCAGCTTTTTCTTTTTCCTCTAAGTAATGAAAAGTCCAAGCGTTTGTTACCAACATTTAAGAATTAGAACATTTTATTCATCTGGATTTCTATAGCTCCTGGGCATTAGTGTTCCTGTAAATATCAGAGTTCTAGTCAGTACTTGCCACTCACTAATCCCACCACACCTGATATTTCTTATATACTGTAGGCAATTGCGCTTACACCTCTGATTTGGATGGTTTAGTAAATTGGTAGGTAAAAGGTATAAAAAAGAGAAACTGGGGAAATATTTGTCTGCTCTACCAGCATTTTATCACTTTAAAACAACAATAATCATTTTCAACAACTCCTTGAGAAGAAACAGGCCTTAAGGAGTGGAGTACTATGTAGCAGACTGTAATCCTGTCATCGGCAGGCAAACTCTAGTGTGATTCATTGTTTTATTTAGAGATGCCTGTAAGTGAAGAATAAAAAATTTGATATAGAAGTGAACAGCCATAATACTATTGGATTCATTTTCCTACTCTCCAAAGATTAGAGGGGAAAGAAAAGATTAGAGGTCATTTCATATGGCAGAATCCTACATTGAGATCCTGTTTTGTTTTGTTTTTTTAATGGAAGCACTATTTCTGGTAAATATATTCTCAATTTAAAGAGCGCACATTAAAAAAAATTACAAACTGAGGAGCATTCAGAATAGCATTTTCTAGATCTGGCTTACATCTTTTACTCATTGTTCAGTAAATGGGTACTACCACATGAATTTTAGAAATTTGGCTTTTTCTCTAACACATTAGTGTCCAGAGATGACTGTTCTTTAAGCCAAAAGGGGTAAAATTGCTAAGGTCACTTGAGCCACACTTACCAGCTTTACTTGTAGGCACATAGAATCTTCTCATCTAAGTGTTTGCACCAGGGGCTGGGAAGGTGGCTCAGTGGTAGAGCGCTTGCCTTGCATGCCTGAGGCCCTGGGTTCAATTCCTCAGCACCACATAAGCAAAAAGAAAAAAGCCGGAAGTGGCGCTGAGGCTCAAGTGGTAGAGCACTAGCTTTGAGCTGAAGAGCTGAGGGACAGCGCCCAGGCCCAGAGTTCAGGCCCCACAACCGGACCCAAAAAAAATAAGTGTTTGCACCTACCCAAATCTCCTGTGTAAATTGCAGGCCAGTCATTCTTTATCTTTCTACCCTTTCTTTTTCCTCCCCTTCTCCCTCTCCTCTCTGTCCCCAAAGGAAAGATCTGTGTGAGTAGAGAAGTAATATAAAAGTATAGTTTGCTATAATCAAAGCCTCTTTTTTAGGCTAAAACTTAAGTAGTTGACCACGTGCCTAACAAGTATGAGACCCTGAATTCAAACCCCATTGCCAGTAAACTCAGAATTTCTAGAGCCAGGCACTGGTAGCTCACTCCTTTGATTCTAGCTGCTCAGGAGGCTGACATCTGAAGATCACATTTCAAAGCCAGTTTGGCAGGAAAATCCATGAGACTTTATCTCCAATTAACCATCAGAAGTGGAACTCTGGCTTAAATAGTAGCATACTAGCCTTGAGCAAGAAAGCTCAGGGATAGTACCCAGGCCTGGATTTTAAGCCCTAAGACCAAAACAAAAAAAGTAAAAATAAAAGAAGCTCCATTGTCTCCTGATGCAGATCTTCATCAGTATGTATCTTTTACAACTTATTTCTTCAGTGTTAGGGATTGATCCAAGGTCTCTTATCTCCAATTAACCAGAATAAAAGCAGGAACTGGAAACAAGATTCAAGTAGTAGAGCACCAACCAGACTTGAGTAGGAAAAGCCAAGCAAGAGCTTCATAATCCTGAGTTCAAGCCCCAGTACTGGCACAAAAAGCAGCCAGGTGCCAGTGGCTCATGCCTGTAATCCTAGCTACTCAGGAAGCTGAGATCTGATGGTCGCAGTTCAAAGCCAGCCTAGGAAGGGAAAGTCTGTAAGACTCTTAACTCCAATAAAACCACACAGAAAACCGGAAGTGGTACTGTGGCTCAAGAGGCAGAGCGCTAGCCTTGAGCTTAAGGCTAAGGGACAGCACCCAGGCCTAGAGTTCAAGTCCCACAACTGACAAAAAAAGGAAGCAGACCAGATCTATATGCTAAAGCATGAGAGATTTTCAGCTGTCAGGATTGTGTGTATGTGTGTGTGTGTGTGTGTGCGCGCGCGTGCGTGCGTGCGTGCGTGCGTGCATGCATGCATGCACGGGCCAAACCCAGGGCTTGAACTCAGAGCCTGGACACTGTTCCATAGCTTTTGTGCTTAAGTGTTCCATCACTTGAACCACAGTTCTTTTGTTATTTTTGGTGGTTAATTGGAGATAAGAGTCTCATGGACTTTCCTGTAAGTCTGGCTTTGAACCATGGTCCTCAGGTCAGCCTCCTGAGTACCTAGGATTATAGGAGTATGCTACCGGTGCCCAGCAAGATTCTAGGATTTAACAAAGTCTCCAAACCACTTGAATATTCTTGATTTCTACATGTACCATACACCACCCAAGATGAAAAACAGAGTAATATTATAGCATCAAATCCTAATAAGTAGCTGGATCTTTGAAGAGGGTTCTATAGAAACTAGAAAACTCTCTTCTCCTTAGCATTTACATTTTTCTCAGTATTAAATCCAGATACATATAATCTTTGTTGTTAATACTGTTTTATACTTTTTCTAAAGGAAAGGGTTTTCATGTGAAAAGCAAGGGAAGCATTTCATTTTTGAGTTCTGGAGTTTGAACTCAGGGCCTCTTACACCTACAGGGCAGGTACTGTACCACTAGGGCCACACCTCCAAGCTGGTTTTGGATATTCTTGGGGGGGGGCAGGGGAAAGGAAGTCAAGCCTCTTTATTGAGGCTTGGAGGTGGGGAAGGGTTGAAAATGCCCCGAGACAGCAAACTGTTGTCCTCCTCCTGCAGGCCCTTCTTGGACCCTTAGTCTCTTATCTGCATCTTGATGTGGATAAAAATACAACCTAAAGGCAATTAGATGTTCTATAACACCTCCTAGCTTTTCAGTGACTTTCCTGTATGTATTACTGAATCAGTACCAGAGATATCCATTAATTAACTAGTTTGTTTTCATCTTGAGAAAATCCACTTAAAAAGCAGAATGCTATTTTTTTGCTATGGCAAAATAATACTATCAGGAAATTATTTCAGACTGTCTCAGCAAGTGAATTGTTGGCAGAATATGTTAGGCATTCAAGTGTAAGCTCTCTCAAGAGATGAATACTTAGGTTTAGAGACAAGGTCCTCTGCGGTTTTAGCCATTTGGTGAACTTATCTGTCTTTTCTCACTAATGGCAGTGACAGGCTCAGTGGCAGCTCCCTGGGCTTTCTTGCCAGTTGCATGCACTGAGCATTTGATATGTTGGCAGACAGCTGATTCTTGGATGCGTCTCTGAACCTGTACAGGTCTGCTTCTGGCAGAATTGAGTGTGACTCTTATCCTTTACCCATTAAGTTATCATTGTAGCTTCCTTATCTTTATTTCTTCTGCAAACATGCCTTTGAAAGTGTTTGTCTCTTTTTTGGCAGTTTATTTGACAGTGTAGAAGTGTAGAAACATTTGTCTTATTTCTAAATTTTATTTCTTTGAAAGGGAATAAGTGAATGTTTTTCCTAAGTTGACAGCTCTAATTATTTTTATTTTTCCTATGGAATTATTTTAAGAGTTTAACTTAGAATCCCCTAAGAAAACACTTAATTGCCTTTGTTTAGCCCAGAAAAATTTTGTGTTCCTCTCTGGGCTCAGTATATTGTATATCATAAACATTTTTTCATTGCTGTAAATCACATGGATATGTCCAGATATATATTGTGTATTAGAGGAAAACTGGAACCTTTTATATTTGAACTTCAGTGTTTGGGTGTTCCTTGCCAAAATTGGAAAGGGCATATTTAAAGAAAGATGATTGCATGTTATTGCCATATATGGAGACTTTTCGAAGCCAATCTGATTTACTCTAACTTGGAGTGAGCTTTAGCTGCTAAGAGCATAACTGAGATAATGCTTAGTAATTATCTCCTCCATAACAGGCCACTTTTGTGTTCCTTTCATTTAGATGTCAAAGCTGACTTAATTTGTTGGTTTGCATGATGTTAAACATTCTACGATTACTGGTTTTTCGTTGTAAGCACTGTAAGTGTTTTGAAATTCTGTGAACAGAATAATCACTATGACAGTAGGTTCTAAACATGGAAAGCTGGTTGCAGCAGCTTGAATGCTCAAAGGCTGACCAGCTGAGCTGCCTTCAGGTAGGGCCATCACCTTTAAGGACAACAGCCAGACGTGGGGCCCCCAGGTTAGAGAACTTTTAGTGTGATTGGGACTTTCGCTGCCACAGAAGACTCCTTACAAACAAGATAGGGTAGAAAAAAATCTTGTTCGTAATCTTCATTCATTAAAATAAAAGTGTTTGTTTATATTTTGTATGAGTGTTCATTCATTTAAGAACAATTGAAAACCTCAACTTTTATTTCCTTCAAGAGGAGAATTTTTTAGCAATAAAAAAAGTTTTTAAAGTTGTGATCTGCTTTGAAATCTTTTGTAGGATGATGGCCTTAATTAAGGATGAAACAAATAATTTGCCACTAAAGTAACCTTTTAACAGTAGTCTTTTTTTCTTTAAATGATTATTGATGATTTATTTTAGTCAAATAGGGATGAAAGGAAGACATTTCTTTTTGTTTTTACTTTTTTTTTTTCAGTTTTTGTCCAGGAGGAGGGGGGGTTCTTTGTCTTTATATTTTCCTAGTGCTGGGACTTGAACTTAAGGCCTTGAGTTCTCTCATTGGGATTTTTCAATCACAGCTGGTGCTCTACCACTTGAACCACACCTCTAATCTAACTTTTTTCTGATTAATTGGAGATGAAGTCTTGAGGACTTTTCTTCATTATTTCTACCTAGGTTATCCAAAATATGCTTGCAGTAGATTTCTATGTTATCTCTAGTAATAAAAGTCATTTAGGCTGAGCGCTGGTAACTAGGCCTATAATCCTAATTTCTCCAGAGGCTGAGATCTGAGGATCACAGTTCAAAGTGACCAGCCTGGTCAGGAAAGTCCATGAGACTCTTATCTCCAATTAACCACTAGAAAATGGGAAGTGGCGCTGTGGCTCAAGTGGTGGAGCGCTAGCCTTGAAGTGAAGAGCTGAAGGATAGCGCCCAGGCCCAGAGTTCAAGCCCCATGACTGACCCTCCAAAAAAAATATGCTGGGAAAGATGCAGAAGAAATGAACAAGTAAGCCCAGTATAGTTGATCTGCAGTTGGATATGGACTTTATTTTTTTTTAATGAAAACTTTTACTGTAACACTATTTTAATTCTATATTTTAAGAGTTAGTATTTTTCTCTATTAGTGAACTTGGTGTTTAATAGTGAAGACTTTCTATCATTTTGGAATACATTTTAAAATGTACATTGATTGAATAATAGTTTAATTGACAGCCTTTTCTTTCTTGGTAATAAATAATGGTACATCTGATATTTAGTGGCATGGTGCATCTTATATTTAGTGGCATCTTGGGTTCAGTGAGATTTGGTAATAATATCTAAAGCCAACTGCCTTTTGTGTGTGTGTGTGTGTGTGTGTGTGTGTGTGTGTGTGTGTGTGTGTGTGTGTGTGTGTGTGTGTGTGTGTGTTTTACTAGAATTGAAACCAACCAGTGAGGTCATTTTTAAAATTTTGAGAGACTTACTCAATTGATCCAACTGGCCATCCATCTGCCTCAGCTTCTCAAGTAGCTAGGATTTTGGCATGAGCCTCCATACCCAGCTTTTTGCAATTTTCATCTAAATATTTTACCTGTCCTAATTTTAAGAGTCAGGAGGTTTGTTGCTTTATATTTTGTTTTCTTTAGCAAGATTATTAACAACTGGGGTCTGATGATAAATTCAGTGATAGTCTTTGGTGGTAATTTATTATTTATGTATATACATGTGAAACCTTGCTTCCCCTCATCATTTTTCCATTTCCTTTGTTTTTCAAGTGTCAATATACAGTATCTGGTTTTATGACAAGAATGACTGTCATCGCATAGCAAAACTCATGGCTGAGTAAGTATATTAATAGATTTAACTAATACATATTTGTGTGTGTGTGTGTATATATATATATATATATATGAGAAAGAAAAATTACTCCCCTCCCCACATATCTTTGTTACTTAAGTTTATTAACTCACATATCTTCCCTTATTGCCTTTTTACTGCCAAAAAATCAAAAAGGGCAAGAAATGAAATCTAAAGTTAACTACAATCCCAGTACTTCCAAGTGTTCCCAAATGTCTGTTTCCTTCCAATCTACTTCTTTATGTGTATATTAGGCTGATATATGTGATTGTTTTTATGAAAATCAGAGTATATTATCATCCCATTTTTAAATGTCAACAGCATTTTTTCAAGACAATAAATTTCCTCTGTAGTAGTTATAGTGACTTCAATATATCCATTCCTGTGCTTTACACTTGCCAAAAGCCTTAGCTCCAGAGAATATCAGCTGTATCCAGTGCACGGTTTGACAACCAAATATAAGCTATCCAAATTTCTATTTTAACAACTGCTTTATAGCACTCATGAGCCCCCATAGAGAACTTCCTCATATGTCCATATTTAATTCCTTCTGACACAACTAGATTTAGCAGTCTATAGATTGTCTTCTAGGTGATATTTGTAACTTAGTCTTGAAATTTGGAAAAAGTAAATCTGTGTTGTTATCAAGGGCTTGAACTCAGAACCTCGTGCTTTTTCCACTCATGGCTGGCATTCTACTACTTGAACTACAGCCCCTTTCTGGATTTTTTTTGGTTAGTCATGGGGCTTGAACTCAGGACTTAGGCACTGTCCCTGAGCTCTTTTGCTCAAGACTAGCACTCTACCACTTTGAGCTACAGCTCCACTTCTAGTTTTCTGGTTGTTAATTGGAGATAAGAGTCTCATGGGCTTTCCTGCCTGAGCTGGCATCTAACTGCAATCTTCTTATCTCAGCCTCCTAAGTAGCTAGGGTTACAGATGTAAGCCATGGCACCCAGCCCTTCTGACATTTTACTGTTTAATTTGATTTAGGCCCTTTCAAACTCACCTGCCCAGGTTGGCTTCAGACCTCCATCTTCAGATCTTAGTTTCCTAAGTAGCTAGGATTATAAGGATGAGCCACTGATATTCAACTAAAATAATTTTCATTTAGTTGATGTTCTGAAGGATGATTCATCTTTTTGCAAACTGGCCCATAGAAAACCACAGCTGACATTCCTATCTACATTTCTGGATTGCTACCCTAGATTCTGAGAACCCAAGACATTGGTACTAGAAGGTCCTAAGGGCCTACAGAGCTCTGGCAAAATGCTGCAGTGAGGATTGTTTCTGGTGCACCTCTGCTTTCCCTTCCATTTTATCAGAATCCTATATAAATCTCTTTCCTATATAAATCTCTTTCCTGGGCACTGTCCCTTGAGCTCTTCAGCTCAAGGCTAGCGCTCTACCACTTGAGCCACACTGCCACTTCTGGCTTTTTCTGCTTATGTGGTGCTGAGGAATCGAACCCAGGGTCTCATGCATGCAAGACAAGCGCTCTACCACTGAGCCACCTTCCCAGCCCAATTAACTTTAATTGAACTTAAATCAGTGGTCCTCAAAACTTTATACCCAGGAATATTTACATTTTTTTAAAGGATACAATAGCGTTCAGACACCATTGGTTCACTCCTGTAATCCTAGCTACTCAGGATGCTGATATTTGAGGATTGTGGTTTGAAATCAGCCTGAGCAGGAAAGTTCATGAGACTTTTGCCTCCTGTTAACCACCAAAAAGCCAGAAGTGGAGCTCTGGCTTAAGTGGTAGAGCATTTGAATAAAAAAGCTCAGGGATAGGACAAAGGCCCTGAGTTCAAGCCCCAGGACCAGCAAAAAAAAAAAAAGAGGGAGAGAGATGCAATAACTAATACCAAACCTGTTCATATTGGATGCTTACCCATGTTTATTAAGCGCACCCTGCAGAGTATTTCTTCCTGTGAACTTAGAATCACTCTTATCAGAAGAGATATTTGTAAGGGCCCCATGCAGTGTCTCATAACTGTAATTCCAGCTATTTGAGATACAGAGATCAGGAAGATTGAAATGTGAGGCCAGGGCTGGGAAGGTGGCTCAGTGGTAGAGCGCTTGCCTTGCATGCATGAGGCCCTGGGTTCCATTCCTCAGCACCACATAAGCAAAAAGAAAAAAGCTG